ACACTTTGGAATTAGTGAAGTATGAAACTTCAGGGTTTTGGGACTTAGGCATTTTGGGACTTTGGGACGTTGAGAGTTGCAATGTTGGGACTTTGGGACGCTGAGGTGTTGCAGGGTTGGGGCTTTATGAGAAATTTGGAATTTTGATACTTTGAGAGTATGAGACTTTGGAATTAGTGAAGTATGAGACTTCAGGGTTTTGGGACTTAGGCATTTTGGGACTTTGGGACGTTGAGAGTTGCAATGTTGGGACTTTGGGACGTTGAGAGTTGCAATGCTGGGACTTTGGACTATGAGAAATTTGGAATTTTGATACTTTGAGAGTATGGGACTCTGGAATTAGTGAAGTATGAGGCCTTAGATTTTGGGACTAATGCACGTTGGGACTTTGGGACGTTGAAGTGCTGCAATTTTGGAACTTATTCACTTTGAGACATTGAAATTATTGAATCTTAGAACTTCAGGATTTTGAAATATAACAAGTTTAGAATTCTAGACCCTTAAATTTTTGGGACTCACGAATTTTAGAAGTGTGGGACTAAGGTACTTGTTTTATATGTAACCTATGAATTTTATTCCCCATTCTGAAACTTTAAAATGTCAATTATAAAATTGCAAAATTTGCAGTCTATTTAAAATCTTGTAAATTTGGGTCTTGTAAGTCCCAAAGCAGCGTTGTAACATCAGATAATTGCAATCTTTATGAGTTTTGGAGCAATATGCTTCGCAGTAAATGTAGGAGTGGAAAATTTTGGTATGTATAATCCTCCTTTCCTTGATATTCTAAGCACGTGCTTATTTTGCTTAATGGTTAATCCAGCCCTGTCAGGGAGAGACGCGATGACGCCCAGGTCGATGTTTTTGGAGAGGATGATTTTTCGCCACTTAAAATACCTCGCGCTATATCGAGAGAGAAAGTTAAGGGGTCACTGGGGGGAGGTTAAGGCGGCTGTCGATCAAATTTTTCGTACAGTTGGTCGAGAAGGGAGGTCCATGCTTCGAATAGCGATCGTGGAGGTCATCGATAATAAAAAGATCGATTTTAATTGCTCGCGCGGATAATAGCAGTTGGGGTTAATTGATCGAACGTTGCTCCCAGTGAAATAGTACTTCAGATAAAGAAAAATACTATTCACTTAATGTTTTTCAACGTCAACGGTAAAATTGTTACTTTAATAAAAGATAACATGTACAGTATACACATAATATTTGAACTATGTATTTGATATGTAATTTTTTATAAAAAATAAAATACTAAACTAAGACAATAAGTCAGTTTCATTTAGTGAACACGGTTACTGAGGAAAATGAACGGCACACATATTGATTACATCATCAAAAAAACTGCAGAGTGCCACCAATAAAAAGTCGACTTGTGTGGCGTAGGACCGGAAGTGGAGGAACCACGTACGTGGCCATCGACCAGCAAGAAGGTCCCTGCATATCGATATCCCTAACAACCAACATACATCCATTCGACACTCCTTCAGCTTAGAAGCTGTCTAAGCTTAAAAGAACAAATTTCCCAAATTTATAAATTTACGAACTGGGCCAAAAATCAACAAGAAGAAAATGTCCTACAAGAAAGCTAGAGTTGTCTCACAAATGACTTGTAAATCTTCCAAACTGACGTAATACCATCGAGTTAGCAACAGTATCGATACTAATCGATAGTCGAACCTGTAGTCAGCAGGATTAGCCGACATTCTCGCGTTAGGGGAAATAATGGTGTTCCCTCGTGCCATAAAGCATGCGTCACACTGCCCCCCTTCGTCTTTTCGTCGCTCGCATTTACCAGACCCTGTTATTTTCGCCCCTCTCTCTCGCTATTGCTCCTTGCTCATTGTTATTATAACGTTCCGTTTATTCCGTGTCTATTTACATATGCATGGAGAGCCATACGCGAGAGCACGGACACGTCATCCTGGACGATAAGCTCTGTAAAATTTTGCGATCGCCATTCCCGATCTTCTTGCCGACAGGTTAATAGAGCATGAGATTGCTAAGCATCCGTAATTGCCTTCTCTTCGGCTGTACAAGGTCTTTCCTGGTCTACGATCACCATTTTTTCTTGCACCGTCTTTTTTTTTTGGCAAATTTAACCGTTTGCGGTTGCCATGGATCTTGAGATTTTCAGACTGTGGCTTAAATAAAAAAGTGTTTGGTCTAAAAAAGGAGAGTGATATGGGCTGGTGGTTTGTAACACAGTGTGCTATTTTAAGTTTGACTTGTGACGCATTCATGACGCACCGATGACGCATTCATGACGCACCGATGACGCACTCAGGCGGTATTTAAGTCGGGGAAGTTTTGGGTTAAGGGATCAATATTGTAGCTGTGATTAGTTTTGACGCACCTGGTGCGTCACATCAGGAATATGATACTGTAGTAAAACAGTAAATCCATAGACTAGTATTAATATCTTAGTGACGCACCTTACGCGTCATTAGAAATATGGTACCGCAGTAAAACGAAAGAATTGTATTAATATTTCTGACTGACGCACCTGTTGCGTCACATAAAAAATATGGTAGTATAGTAAAACAGTAAATCCAATCCATAGAATAGTATTAATATTTGAGTGACGCACCTTATGCGTCATTAGAAATATGGCACTACAGTAAAACGAAAGGATTGTATTAATATTTCTGACTGACGCACCTGTTGCGTCACAAAAAATATGGTAGTGTAGTAAAACAGTAAAACCATAGACTAGTATTAATATTTGAGTGACGCACCTTATGCGTCATTAGAAATATGGCACTACAGTAAAACAGTAAAATCCAAGAATTGTATTAATATTTCTGACTGACGCACTTGTTGCGTCACATAAAAAATATGGTAGTCTAGTAAAACAGTAAAACCATGGACTAGTATTAATATCTGAGTGACGCATCTTACGTGTCATTAGAAATATGGCACTACAGTAAAATCCAAGAATTGTATTAATATTTCTGACGCACCCGGTGTGTCACAACAAAAGTCTAATAGTGCAGTAAAACAGTAAAGTAACAGAATAGTATTATTGTAGTAGTAAGATACTAAACAGAAGAATTATTTAAAGCATTTAAATATAACATTCAGCGATTCAATGAAAGAATCGAAGAGAATTATCGGAGCACGGTGAAAGTGTTAACCAGTGATCCTTACGTTTTCCCTTTTGCAAAGAGCTAACCCCGAACCTGTTCGGTATTGCTCAGGTAATGCTCTCGCGATTAATAACCAGACAAGGGAATACCAACAGGAATAAAACGCCGCCGCGAAAGAAGAAAACGAGGAGGAGAGAGAAGAAGCTTATCTTTCGTGTCTGAGAACAAGACTGGTACCGGTTTCTGGTCCCTGATACAGAGTTCACGCGGAGAACGGATATGTACAACGATGAAAATTTCACTCGTTTTCGCTGCTGCATTTCGTTGTCTATTTATATAATTTTTAATTGGGATTGCGGGTCGCTTTGATAATTCTGCTTCAAATTACTTATAAATATTGATAAATGTACGGTTATGGAGGGATCACGTAATGTTGGAGATGCAAATGTAATGTGATGTCTGATGAAAAATTAATATGGTGGTAATTCTTGTCAATTATTACTGTGAACAGCTATGTAAATCGTCTCTGTATTTTTATATTTTTATATCCCTAGATTCTTATGAGACCAACCCACTAAATTCGCTCACATCGAAACGCAAACCCCAGTGGCTATCAGATCCACAAATATAACAACGTTAACCAGTTCCGACAATTACATTAGAAGAACCGGGAAGAAAGGGGGATATAAAGCTGCTGATCTTCAACACATGGCTGTGTTTGAGCACTTTTCACGCGATGATCGCTGCAGATTAAATCGCGAGATGTTCGGCTTTATGATAGGGGATTTGAGGGTTGCGTGCAGGGAGAAGGAAATAAAAGTGGTAATAGCATCAATCGAGAGCAATGTGGATCGATATGTAGCACACGTAACACAAATAGGCACATATCTAAATGGTAAAATTTTTGTTACAAAATATTTCATATTTTTGATATAACTTTATAATAAAGCAGCCCTAAGAGAATAATTTTGTCTTATGAACTGAATATTTTAGTGGAGTCTGAACAACTGGGACACCCTGTACGTGACGTGCAACAGAATCCACCGTCATTTCGTATTTTTGCTGTGAATTTCTAATAAAGTAACCCTACATTGCTATAACATTCTAAGAACACAGTCTGATGGTGCAAAATTGGGACACCCAGTACGTGACGTGAAGCATCTCATATTTTTGTCATAGAGTTATAAAGTAAACCCACGTTAACTTTTCTGCTACATAACAAGTTAATAAATACAAGTTAATAAATTAACACAGAACGAGTTAGTACATTAATAAAGAAGGCGAACGTACACCATGTACATGGCGTCTGATCTGCAAAAATTTATGATTACGACGATGAATCACGAGCAGTTTAATATGGAAGGTTTATAGCGAAGTTCGTGCGTGAAACTCGAATTGATTAGCCTTTTTGTATTTAACCTGGGCCAGGGTGCAGTCAGGTGAACCGGGTTTTAATCAGTGTAATGTTCCGCCGCTTTCTTCGAGCAACGAGTGAATTGGATACAGAGAAAGCGCGATGACTCACGCGAATTAACGACTGGTTTTTTAACGTTGTCGATATTCTTTTAATTTTGATTTTGGAGCCCATCGTTGCACATCTCTGCGTGCTGCACGATATTTTTAATAGAAACCTCGTTAATTTCTTCGCGTTCGCAATGCTGTTCTCTTTAAGATCTTAACTTAGGGTATCAGATTATTACGAACTGTTATTACAAACTTGGAAGAAAATAAAAAATAACCACAGGAAGATGAATATTGCGCAGAGAAATATTCTAATAAAATATTTGATATTTGACGAAATATTTATTAGAAATAAATTATTGAACGCGCGGGTTTAAACTATTCTTCGGCCGCCATGTTTGTTCACTGCGCGCATGCGCAGTTCGAAATCTTACCCCTATTTGACTCAAACATTGAAATTGCTCGTATCCTCTATATAATTATCTCAGATAATTGTTTATCATAGTTAATATTTAATGATCCTAGTAAATATAATGTCTAAATAATAGATAACATCTTATTCTTCAAGTTTATCTCAGCACATCGTCATCCTTGCAGGTGGTCTACTCCCATAATCCAACAACTGATGCTGAATCAACAGTGACTCACTCCACGCACAAACTAAGGAAGCAATTACAAGATTTACCGACATTTACCAAAGGGAAAAGATAAACAGCAGCGATTGTTTCGTAACTCGGCAAACAATGTCATTTTGGAATTTCTTCTTTCAAACGAACGGCAAGCAAAAAGGTCAAGGACAAACGTTTAAATGACTGATCCAAGGACAAGTTGGAATTTCACGCTTTATTTTACCGGTCGCGAGCAAACACGATGAATCATAACTCTACCGGTTAAAGGAACTAGGATACTTTCGCTTTTCAGTGGCCTATGCAGTTATCGTTAAAACGGGAAAAGAAATCAATGGAACTGAGATACTGTAATCGTTCTGACAATGATTACAGAATAATACGATGTTGCGTTGTTAATGAATTTTTCAAAGAGTTGCTTTCTTTGGTGTCATTGTGGAAAGTTTATGGCTGTCGGGTCGTTAGAAAGCTGTGTGAAGTTGGGCTTGAAGTTCAGCAAGTCTGATACAAATTTTTAGTTCTGCAATTGTAAATTTCTTGGAGTCTAAGGTTTCAAGTATGTAGATTGAAATTTACATATTTTCAGATTTCCAAATATTCAAATTTTTCTTCTTCACATTTTTTAATCTTAAATTTTGCAAATTTTCCACGCTTCCAATTTCAAATTTGCAAATTTTCCATGCTTCCAATTTCACCTCTCAAGGTACCAAGGTATATTTCCAAGTTAGCTTATAATTTTGTATACTTTCCAAGCACCTTATACACTACCCTATGAGTGTTCCACTCATGATGACACAATGGTATAATTATTAACGAATGTTCCACAGGTAGCAGCTTCCGTGGGGCAACAGTTACGAGGTGGCCCATGGAGTTCGAGCAACGGGTCAAACGTGACGTAACATCCGGACGACTTCTCGCGAGGTGGAAATGCTCCAAGGGAATCGACGAAGCGTGCAGACGCCACGCGTCGATCGCTTCTCGCGTTCTCGGTAATACAGCACGTTTCAATACGATCAGGGTGCAGATCCTTTTATACTTTTGTCTATGAACGAATAAAAGGCAAAGTTTACGAAGTACAACAAACGCGTGTACTACTATCAACGCTAGACCCACGGCCATATAACGAACAGTCACATACGTTGACCACTGAGGTCCATTTTGAAACACGATCAAGTTACATGTCTTTCCTTAATTTTGAAGGGGCTTTTATGAGAAACAGTCTAACGAATGTACCTCCAAAAGATACTCAAACTCGAGTTCATAAGAAAATTTTTACTTGAAACATGGTCATTTTAGGAAGTATTTAATAATTTTATTGAAACACCCTGTACAAAACGTCACGTCTTTACATAAAAATTTTTAGTAGAAACAATATAGACGTTTTGTGAAGTAATATTGAAACAGCCTGTACACCCTCTTCCAGCTCAGCGTCTAGCGTTTGCTGTCCCCTCCAGTGCATTGCCACATCGCATTCTCGAAGAATGAATCACTAAGAACCTGACGTACAAATACGCGAAAACGTGCGATCAACGCACGCCTCTCGCCTGCCTCGAGGAAACAGCCCGGAGGAAAAGATGCTTTCCCCTGCGAAAGCATGTATGTACTCCTTTTATACCTTCGTGGAGAAATTCGACCATGTTGAAATTGGTGAAAGAAAATATTTCTGTTGATTATTCTTTGGAGTCATCAGACTCTTCGGACACTTATGATCCTGACGAGACTTGTGATCCACTTATTTGGATCCATTATTAATATTATTGATGTTTCAAGATGTTCAAAATTATTGCCAATATCATTGATATTTCAAGATGTTAAAAATTATTGCTAATATTATTGATACTTCAAGATGCTCAATATTATTGCTAATATTATTGATAATTCAAGATGCTCAAAATTATTGCTAATATTATTGATATTTCTAGATGTTCTAAATTATTGCTAATATTATTGATATTTCAAGATGTTCAAAATTATTGCCAATATTATTGATATTCCAAGATGTTCAAAATTATTGCTAATATTATTGATACTTCAAGATGTTCAAAATTATTGCTAATATTATTGATATTCCAAGATGTTTAAAATTATTGCTAATATTATTGATATTTCAAGATGTTCAAAATTATTGCCAATATTATTGATATTTCAAGATGTTCAAAATTATTGCTAATATTATTGATATTTCAAGATGTTAAAAATTATTGCTAATATTATTGATACTTCAAGATGTTCAAGACTATTGCTAATATTTCAAGATCTTCCCATCAGTATTTGCTAAATTCAACTTCAGTAAATTTCGGTCATCCCTCCATTGAGTAATTCTTTAAAAAAAGATTCAGAATAACAAGCTAGCTCAAATTGTCTCTAAAAATGTATATCCTGCAATAAAGATCGTCCCATCACATGTGCATGTTTCCGAAGATATTTTTGTTTTGCAAAACATCCACGGTTACGTTTCAATAAATTTAACCGTCCTCCACTTTCCAAGGTTCATCTTAAAAAACATATATACTATTCTGCACTTCCTACGAATCAAAAGTTGATTCTGTAAATAAACTCCGATCCATTTTTCTCTGATTACCTACACGGTTGATATAACATATAAAAATATAACCGTGATTCCTGTTAACGTCCCAGCGTACTCCAGTAGTCTACACGTGTTCAGAAGAGCAACCATAAGTCTGTATAATGTGAGGAGAGAAAAAAGAACAAGTACAATCTATAGAAGTAAAGTGAAGGAAAAGTTTCTCAAGGAATTAGTTTGTCTAACATTTCGAAGACGTATTATGGCATCGACACGGTCCTCCACTTCGCCAAGCAGCATGTACCTTTTTTGGCTGCCGAAAATACGAATGGTGTCCGCAACGATTCCCCTTCTTGACCATTTCGTAGGCCGTTTGAACAATTTTAACAGCTGGCAGGCATTTCTCATGGAGGAAGTGTCGGGTCATCGACCCGTTGCGAGCATTTTCCTAGATGGCGAGTGAACTGAACCGAAGACGAGTTCCAGGTATCGTAAAGTCTGTTCGCGGAAGATTGACCTATCTAAGTTGACTTTGACTGCCGTCTTTGGGGGAACAGTCCGAGAAAAAGATAGGTGTATAATTGGAATTGTTGTCGAGTCGCTTTCTAAGTCGCTGTGTACACCTGGATGTAACGTTGCTTTCTTTGCATAGCGATTAGCGCGGCGCAGGAGCATCCTGTTATTCGACTTCGATTCCGACGGATCGAAACTTCTCGAATCGTCTTCACAAATGCTTCGTACTTTGCGAAATTTTCAAAGGATACCCACATTTTTTCAATTTGGAGATTTACGTATTTATAAATGTCCGAACATTTTTAGATGTGAACATCCAGAATGAAATGTTACTAGATTCAAATGCGCTTAAGTATCAAGGATCTGCAGATCTCAATGTGACTAGATTTCATTATCTTTAAATTCCTAATGTCTTTAGATTTGAAATATCTCCGGTATCTTAACGTTCATAGATTACAAGAACCCAAATTCCAATAACCCTAGATTCCAATACCCCAAATTCCAATCTCCCTAGACTCCAATCTCTCTAGATTCCAATCTTCCTAGATCCCAAACTCTCTAGATTCCAATCTCCCTAGATCCCAATCTCCTTAGACCCCGATCTCCCTAGGTCCCAATCTCCCTAGATTCCAATCTCCCTAGACTCCACTCTCCCTAGATTCCAATCTCTCTAGATTCCAATCTCCCTAGACCCCAATCTCCCTA